CGGCTTCCTCAGTGGCAGGGGAAGCAGAGCAACCCAACAACTGAACCACCTCCAGGTCTCCTTCCCTGATGAGAGCTGTGATCCTAAGGTCTTCTTAAATTGCTGCATTTAGCTCTGAGTGGCATTTGAGAAAGACCGGGGAGAAAATACGCTCTGTAGAACTCCTCACGATTTTAGTGTAATAATGTGGTTATCGGTTGTTTCGTGTTCGTCTTCCCCACTGGAGCGTGTATTTCTGAGAGGGCAAGGAATGTACCAGGTGCTCAGGAAGGATCTGAGGAACCACTACTGAATGAGTAGGGGCAGGGGCAGGGTGAGGGGAGAGAGAGAGCTGCTCTCTGGACAGATTACTTTTAAGAAATGTTTGGCTAAGTCCAGTGACCCCTGGAACTGGCTCCTCCGGGGTCCGCGCGCATCTCTGCTAAATTCCACAGTCAGTGAACCCCAAGTTTGTAGCTGAACATTAGCCAAGGTGGGAGTCTTTACACTGTGGAAATTTGTGAATTCTAGCAAAGGACTTCTTTTTGGCTTGGAGGTCACAAGGAGAGTTCAGACCCCTACAAGAGGAGATGAGGTCACCCAACCTTATCACACCCACACTTAGTTCTGTCGGTCTGAGGCTAAAGAGTGATCGGTAAGCCACTGAGATGAGCAATAGGTTATCGTATGTGGTCTGGATGATACCACAACAGACAGGGACAGACCCTTGGGAATTATGCATGTAGCTGTTAGTGCAAGAATTTTTTACACTCTTGAGTTGTGACTGTTCAAGGGACCCCCATAAAGGTAAGTCCCCAACCGGCCAGACAGGTGGTACAGAACAAGATCACTGCACGGCAAATTCTAGGTACTTTTCTGGTTTTTGCCATTAACACTTTTTAGTTTCTCACACAGGACGTCAACCCCAAGATGAAACAGAAAGTGGTGCTCACTCTCAGCACCCATCTACTACCCCAAGCACACAGGACTCAGCTTTTGTGGTGCAGCCAAGCGAGGCAAATTACCAAAAAGGGAGTGAGAAGGGAAAACCCTCTCTGCCCTTCTATAGTCACTGTTCTTAAACACTCTCAGCCCATCCTTCATTCTGGAGGCTCTTCTCCTCCTCATCTTTTATGGACTCTAAAAAAGCAAGGAGAAAATTCTTCTAACACTCAGATAATAGCTCCTTTTCTTTAAGACACCAGGCAGCTTTTATACCTTTGGTTAAAATATGTTAAGTGGAAGCCAACATCAATACGACAGCTCTCATGCTGGACTATGGAGCCAGCCACGTCTCTGGATATACGCTTTGCGCCTCACTGCAGCAGGGGCACGGCTGCGCCCGTTCACGGCTCACTGATGGAAGGTCTCTAGAAGCCCATCAGACAATACTAGCTCTGGTCACCAAAGACTCACCAGACCTCTGTGGGGTATGTAAACCCCTATGTTACCACTTTAGTGACCTACAAAACACAGATGAATAACACAAGTCATCGATGTGGAGGAGGATTAGGGGCAGTTCCTGTCTCTGCTCTTAGATTTAAGGGTGTTCCTGTATTTCTGGACCTGCTCACGTTTTGTTCCGGCTAAATCCCTCCTGTCAGGGGAGAGGCTGGAGAGCCTCATGGGTGGAAGTCCTGACTGCCAGGAGGTGTCTGGGCTGGGGTGTCAGGAAGAGGAGTCCCTGAAGCGGTGGAGGACAGAGGAAGGGAACCTGAGGGGGTCTCTGGCTGGCAGCCTGTAGTGTGGGAGTGGGAGGCAGAGCCAGAAGGCAGGGTGCCTGTCTGTCCATGTTGTCTGCTCGGTATGGAGGACCAGAGGAGAGAAAGGTTGCGATTACCTGTGGGCTGCACAGATGATAGGAGGTAGAACCTGACTTAAAAGGTGGGGCAGGTTGCCGAACTAAGAACGATTTGCTAAGTGTCCTCTGCTCAGCCCAGGAGAAGCAATTTTCCCTTGGCTGGGTGTGGTCAACTCTGAAGGTGCATTGCCTCGGGGAAAGCTGTGTTGGTGTGTGGCAGGCAGATCCAAGAAGAGCAGCTGTATGGTGTCCTTGAAGGGGCATGATACAGAAACTAAGAGGACCCCAGGCCTAGAACTTTGTGCCACTGAGTAGCTTGTCAACTGGACAAAGTACACACTTCTCTCGGCTTCATTTATCACCTCCACTGTAGTGCGGATAGTATGTGCCCAGCTTCATACAGGGTTGTGTAAAGCTGAAATCAGACAAAGCTTAAGAATTAAGTTTTATAAACTATAAACCACTGCCTGACTACAAAGTCTATTATTCTTACTCTTTGGAGGAAAAAAAAAATCTTATGAAACGCTGATTACACGAAGAGCTAATTTCAGAAAGGAAAGCAAGAGGCAGGAAAACAAAAACCCACGAAGATCCAAAATACAACTAACCAACAGGCACTCTGTTCTTGTGACCAGGATACAAGTGCCACTTCCTAAGAAAAACTGAAATACTGATTTGTTTTCGCTCAGCATTACACACCTTTCTTGGGCCTCGACTTAGCCACAGTGTAGACCAAACAACTAACTGGGCAAATGCCACCCCTGGTGAGAGGGGAGCAGGAAGCGATGTTTGCAGGAACTCCTAAGTGAGGCCTCTCCGAACCTGGCTGAGCGGAGCTGGCAGGCTGTGCACCCTGGGCCCGCTGCTGGGTGGTTTCCCCAGCTCCGGTCAGGAGAGAAGTCTGGCTCTGGGAGGGTCCCTGGGTAAAACCTGGACACCTGCACAGAGGTTACGTGGAAAATGTATTGTTGGAAAACAGCTTCTTTTGGGTGTTGGGTGGGTATGTGGAGGGCATCTGAAGTGGAGGCCAGGACTGGGAAAGAAGTGAGCTGGAGAGGTGGCCAGTGCTGTCGGGGGGGGGGGGGGGCAGAGCGGGGTGGAGCTGAGCTGCCCTGGTGGGAGTGGGGGGTGCAGAGGGGTGAGAGGGGGAGCCAGGTAGGGACGAGAGGGCAGAAGAGTCACCTGGCTCTGCCTGAGAATGAGGAAAGGGAGAGTCTCGGTCGCACGGACCCTGTGACAATTGGAGTGGGCTCACGGCAGGGGAGGGACCCCCACCCCAGGCCTTAATGCTGACCAGGCCTTTTCATCCCCCTCTGCAGGAAAGTGAGTACCTCTGAGCACCAGGAGGCAGAGGGTCCATGCTGCCTGGGGAAGGACGAGAGGAATAGTAGTGAAAACTAAGAGAACATATGTAATGAGAGGGGGGACAGGCTCCCCTCCTCCTCCTCCTCCTCCTCCTCCTCCCATCCCACGAAACAGTGGCGAGCAGGCAGAGAAACCGGCTGTACCTCCCACCCCCAGCCCCCTCCTACTCTCCATTTATTTTTCACTTCATTTCACGTGATAGGAACATAATGACATTTTTCTGTTACTCATCACATTAGCAAACACAGCTGCCAGTTCACAAAACTGCTCTTCTGGGGGTCAGTGGGCCAAACGGGCTCCAGCCCCAGGCCTCACACTTGGTCCCCAAGGGGCAGTCACGGCCTGTCAGCAGCATCACCCTTCACCCTGGGCCATCCATCGCCATGGGAACGCACAGGCATCCCAGGCTCAGGGGGCCTTGGGAAGGGGGGGCTGGCCTTCAGGGGGGGCTGCCCGTTAACCGTATGTCCGTGCTCCACAGCAGTCCTCCCTGTGCCTCAGTTTACTCTTTCTTAAGAAGATTCAGGGCCCGTTCCTCAAGATGTTATGGGGGCGGGGGAGGGAGTGCACTCTGCACGTTATTTTGAGCAAGTTACTTAACCTCTCTGCATTTCAGTTTTCTCAGCTCTCAACAGAGATAGAACAATATCTGCCTGGGTGTGTTGCAAAGACTAAAGAAGGTACCTTAAGTAACTTTACAGGACATTTGGCCCAGGATGAAGGTACATATTAGCTTTAAATACTAATGATAATCGTGACAATGTCGAATGTGGAAGTATCACGGCGGGGGAGCAGGGGGTGGGACCCAAAGGCCCAGCAGAAACACCTGATCCAGACTGAAGGTGGGGGAGAGAGAAGGTCCAGGTAGTTTCTTAGACAGGACATCTGAGCTTGGACCTAACAAAGAACTCGTATGAGGTTAACCCTTTAATTTGCTACGTGGCTGGACAGGTAAGACTCGATGCTGTCTCGTCTAGCCCACACCAAACCACTGGGCAATATCCTCCCTCCCTCCCTCCCAGCTGCAGGAACCTCAGGAGCCAGGCCACTGTGGGGCCCGGAGCACAGACAGGAACTCTGGGGAGCCCTCAGCGGCAGCCGCCAGGATGGATGTTCCAGAAGCAGGACCACGTGCTCTAAAAGCCGCAGGCCCGAGCTCCTGCCACATGGGGCCAGTGGGGGCCTGGGAGCCCTGCTGCCAGTGGCTGCGAGGGGCAGCAGACAGAAGAGGATGCACCCCACCTCCACCCCGCTCATGGCCACTGACAGGTCGGGGGGGCGGGGGACTCTTTCATACACCACAGTGATAATCCTAATTCCACTTGTTCCTCATTGGAGCAGGTGCACATGTACCCAACACAGTTTCCCCCATCTCAGGGTTTTTAACACTGTTCAAGAGACAAGGATGCCACCCTGTTTCCAGAATAAACCGGTCCCAAACCCACCTACGATTGCTTTCTACAACTTTTCTAATAAGTCCTGTCTGTAATTGGTAAAGACTAGGGCATGCCTCCTGCTATTAGACCAAGCGTCGGTTCTGACACTTAGGTTTTCCAGGATGTTCCTTCGGTGGACTCTAAAACCTCCTATCAGTATCTGAATTACTGAACTGAACGGCGATCACGACCGGAGCCTTCATGCAGAGCGGAGTTAACAAGCTGCCCGGACAAGAGAGAGAGATTTTTATATACTTGAGGCATCTGTGATTACTCCAGGGCTTTTCCAACTGGAAGTCTCAGTAGTAAATTTTGATGGCTAAACCTAAAGGCAGATCGCTAAGCAACTCAGATGGTCTCTTCCCATTTTTCAAGCAAGTGAAGCTTCCGCTGGCATGTCACGCTGACGGCCGACTTACCCAGGTCGATAAGGATCGCATGCTGTTGGGAGGTGAGCCGTTTTAGGAGTTCCTTGTATGGTGTGTCCTTTGGCTGCTGTTTACTGGGAAACTGGTGTCGAAGGCGGTACTGCTCTGCCAGGAACTTCCAGATTTCCCCCCGAAGATGACGTGGCACACCTTCAAGGGGGGGGAGGTAGAAAGTAGATTTTTATGCTCAGAGCATGACTTAATAAAAATGAGTTAGGTTTCATTCCACTGACCCAACCTCTTGTTCCACAGGAATTAAGAGCATCGAAATGGAAAGTCAAACAACCAACATTTTGTCCTCTCTGCTCCCCTCCCCCCCTCCTTGCACAGCCCCATCTTTCCCCCCACCTCCCGTGGCCCCTCTCGCTTGCCTTGTGGCTCTCAAGTACATACTATGTTCAGACTGGGCCAGACCCAGCAAAGGCTGAACTGGTGAATGGCATGAGCCCCTCTCTGGTACCTATTTAGTAACGTTCTAGGGAAAGACGCCCAGCCACGCAAAATTACAGTGCAAGATGCCGTCTCACACAGGGGACGTGAGCCGAGTGTGGGGGTTCAGACGAAGGAGACCAAGACGACATGGAATCCTTCACTTGTGCCAAGATGCCAGAGTGTGGGAGGTGAGAGAGAAGACAGGTTGGAGGAAGGAAACCTTAAGGGCAGTCAGGCTGGATGGGCTACCTCGAGAGGCGAAATGAAGGGTAGGGAACCTGCACTTTATCTGGCAGCTCTGGGGATCTAAGGAATGTTCTTGAGCAGCCTAACTGGGGAATCCTGCTTAGACACCATGAGCGAGGTGGGCAGAGAAAGGGACAAGAGGCTGGACACCATCCACACAAACGTGCCTTGGGGACCTGGACACAAGAAAAGCTATCCAAGAGCCTTTCCAGCTCATGTTTTAAATACAACTGATGTGAACACTTTTCCAAGTGGTTAAAAACGTCGTCTAAAACTAGGAAAAGCTCTCCTGAAGCCAATGATATTATTTAAGGCAAACTTCATTAGAGAAGTGATGCTTTTGAGTCAAAACTTTCTGGTTGGGGACGCCTGGGTGGCTCAGCAGTTTAGCACCACCTTTGGCCCAGGTTGTGATCCTGGAGACCCAGGATCGAGTCCCATGTCGGGCTCCCTGCATGGAGCCTGCTTCTCCCTCTGCCTGTGTCTCTGCCTCCCTCTCTCTCTCTCTCTGTCTCTCATGAATCAATAAATAAAATATTAAAAAAAAACACCTTTCTGGTTCAGGGGGATCCCTGGGTGGCTCAGCGGTTTAGCACCTGCCTTTGGCCCGGGGCGTGATCCTGGAGTCCCGGGATCAAGTCCCGCATCGGGCTCCCTGCATGGAGCCTGCTTCTCTCTCTGCCTGTGTCTCTGCGTCTCTCTCTGTGTCTCTCATGAATAAATAAATAAAATATTAAAAAAAAAAAACTTTCTGGTTCACCATTCTTCCCAAATGTGGAGATGGGGAGAAAAGGCAGCCTGCAGAATAAGACATCGAATCTTTCTCGTCTCTGACAGGAGCTCCCTTGAGAGAAGAGGAACCTCCGATTTAGGGATGGATCTTTCCTTCCATTCAGGAAAAACTGTGACTGCTTTGTACACTTCGCTGCTACTCAGCGTGCCTGGCCAGGATTCCTGGTTTTCCACTGGCCACGTCTGAGAGAAGTCTCACCAGCAGGTAACATTTACCATGAGGTGACCAGGTGCTGCCACCATTCTAAGTACTTTGTCATCCCCACGACTTGCAGAGGTAAATAGGATGATGATCCTCAGGGTAAAGACAAGGAAACTGAGGCCAACAAGAACAGGTCCCTCACCCGAGATGACCCAGCTGGTTAGGAGCAGAGCAGAGAAAGGGACTCCTGTTTTTTCTTCATGTCTTCCCTGTCACAACAGTCAGACAAGCTGTACTCGGATGGGTACTGGAAAAACATATGTTATGTTCCTGCCTGGAGGTTAGTGATAAACTCATCATTTCTGGATCTGAACCAGAAAGTAGTCAATGTCATTTATTACCAGATCCACAAGGAACTGTTTAGAACAATCAGCCATCTCTTAGAAATACTCTAGGTAGGGCGTCTGGATGGCTCAGTCGGTTAGGCATCTGACTCTTGATCTCAGCTTGGGTCTGGATCTCGGGGTCATGAGTTCAAGCCCTGGACTGGGCACTACACTAGGTGTGGAGTCTACTTAAAAATAAATAGATAGATAGATAGATAGATAGATAGATAGATAGATAGATAGATAGATACTCGAGGTATGGAAGTAATTTGATTTTTCCCTTACACAAACTGGCTGTAAAAGAAAAAAAAAGGTGAGCCTGTGGGAGAAACACAGGGCCATACTTAACTGCGACCTCACCCACACCTTCTCTAAATGCTGGTCTTGACATTAGTCTCACGACCCTGTGTAGGACCCTGTGTAGTAGTGGGTTGAATGGTGGCCCCCCCAAAAATATATGTCCCCATCTTAATGCCTAGAATCAGTGAATGTGATTTGGAAAAAGGTTTTTTTTAAATATATTTTTAAAATTTATTTATTCATAAGAAACACAGGGAGAAAAAAAAAAAGAAACACAGGGAGAGAGGCAGAGACAAAGGCAGAGGGAGAAGCAGGGTCTCCACGGGGAGCCCGATGCGGGACTCGATCCCAGGACCCCAGGATCACGCCCTGAGCTGAAGGCAACACACTCAACCGCCGAGCCACCCAGGTGCCCTGGAAAAAGTTTTTATAGACGATAATTAAGGTCTTGAAATGAGACCATCATGCTGGTTATGCAGGTGGGCCCTCTATCCAAGGACATGGGTCTTTATAAGAGACACAGAGGAGAGGACAAGAGAAGCAGGCACTGTGAGCAGGAGGCAGGGACTGGAGGGGCACAGCCCCAGGCCAAGGAATGCCGACAGTCTCCAGAAGTGGCTAAGGGCGGCCCCGCCGACGCCTCCGCTCCCAATCCAGACTCCTGGCCTCCGGGAGTGGGAGAGAAAAAGGTCTACAGTTTTAGCCACCAATTTTGTAATATTTTGTTATGGTAGCAACACAAAACGAATACACCCTGACGTCTGCCTTTTTATACCATTCCGTTCCTTCTCTCCCTGCCCTCCCTGCCCAGAGGTATTTCTTAGGGTGCGAGTACACATGCACATGCACGCACAAGACCTTAACATTTGAAACTAAATCAGAAGTCAATGTGGCTTAGAGGCACCTGGGTGGCTCAGTCAGTTAAGCATCTGCGCCTTCAGCTCAGGTCCTGATCCCGGGGGGTCCTGGGACCGAATGCCACATTGGGGTCCCAGCTCAGCGGGGACTCTGCTTCGCCCTCTGCCCCTCCCCCTTGCTCATGCTTGGCCTCTCAAATGAATAGATTAAAAAAATCCTTAAAAAAAAAAAAGACGTAAATGTGGCTTGAAAAACAGTCAACATGTTAAGTGATTTATAACGGGACTTTTCACAAAATATTTTTTTCAGACTGGGAAATCTTCCCAAGGTATGAGATGACCAATTTCCTTTTATTACTAAATCATTCCCATTATCTTATCAGAACTTCATTTTTTTTGGAGGAAAAAAATACTGTTTGTGTCACTGGACCAGACCACATATTCTGGTATTTAAGAGAGCTTGGGTTTTGTGATTTAAAAACAAAGAGTCGTGCAAATCAGAGCCAGTGTTTCTGCCTCCACTCATAACCCACTCTTATGCTGGGTGGGCAGGCTGGCTTCTGCGAGGACAGGAGGTCCCTCCCCCTCAATGTCAGTACCTTTTTATTTTTACTGACTTCAGACATGATTTGTGCTCGCCTTATTTTTTTTTAAGTCCTTCTAAAAATGCAAAAGGTATAAAGAGGGTGAAAAACCACTCATAACTACAGTGAACATAGAATTCACCACCCGAAGCACGAAGCAGGAAGCTCTTGAAAGCAAGGGGAGGAAGGTATTAATTATTGCACCGGGCAGAGCTGTAAACCAGGGCTATGCTGGGTAAAGCAGATGTTGCAAATGTGTTGTGCGCGGCTTCCTACCTATGTGCCCACAGAAACAGACAACTCTGTGTTAGAACATGCACCACTTTTTTTTTCATTTAACTACTTGTCTCGGACATCTTTTACATCAGTAATTATAACTACTGTGTCATTTTCAAGGACCATGGCACACGATGGTCACACTGTTGGGGTTTTGGGGTTCTGTTTTGGTTTCCGACTCTACAATGCCATAAGAAGCATCCTTCCTACTGCAGCACGTTTTTGGCCGATTAATTTTTAGACTAAGTTCCCAGGTGTGGCATTGCCGGATCAAAGGTAAGGAATGTCTGCATCTGGCCCGTCTTGCCAACTGCCCAGGCGGCCTCTCGGCAATCTCATTCCTGAAGAGTATGCTCCAGTTCATATACTTCTACCTCGCTCTCTTTAGTGAAATCATTCAAACCCTAACTAAGCTTTGAGTTATGTAAAGCTCTGCATAATTATTCTTTGTTGTCCCAAGTTGGTACCCTAATCCTGCTGTTCTGATCTAGTTTTAACTTGGGAGGCTTATAAATGCCTTTTTTCTATCACTTAGGGGAGTCCTCAGATCATTAGGAGGAAGGGCCTCATCACCCATACAGGGACTGTCTTCTCTTTCAAAGGCTCCATAGTAACTTGGCCTCTACCATAAAGGCCAAGGGGGTGGTTCTGATTTAGTTTTGTTTTTCATATTCTGGGCTGCAAGATGGACTGTCGGCATTTGCTTGGAGTCATTACATCTTACGTATCGAAAGCAGCTGAATCATTGACAGAGCTCTCTGTGCAGTTAGAAATAGAGTCCCTGCCACAGGCAGTGATGTGGTCATGTCCGTGGCTACAGAGGGAATTCCAGGTTGGCTCACCTCGGCATGCAAACTATACAATCACCTATGTCATACTTCACTGCGCAGGTTTCAGGTGCCCACCACGTTTCCATCAGTCCCCCCCACCTTGTAAAATGCATAATGAAAAACCAATGCATCCAGGTGCCAGGCTTCTAAGAAGCTCACGCTTCTGGAATAGCTGTCATAGACCCTTGCCACTTCCCTTTTGTAGAAGCAAAGCCACCTAAAGACCATCATTTAGTCAGCAGTGAAGAGGAAAGAACAGACTTATTCCTTTCTCTGCTTTCTCCTGTTTCCAGATAGCAATCTGGGACCATGTGGTGCAGTGGTTAAGCCTCCAGCAACTGCACAAAGAATGTGAGAACAGGAAGAGCTGTGAGACCCTCAGTATGGTTTGTGCCTCTCATTCTAGCAGCTGGGAGGCCCGAGCCCAGAAAGGGGAGGATGTCGGCGAAGGTCACACCGGCAGTCACTGGCCAATCTGGAACCTGACCCTTCAACACCTGCAACACTTCTGGTCTCTGGTGCTGCCGAGGCAGGTTCAACCACAGGTAGTGCCGTGTGGTGGTGAGAACTCTAGCAGAAGGGTGTGTGGGGAGCTCTCGGGTCCTGAGCCCGTTACCCCTGAGTAGTATTTCCTTGTCCATGGAAAGGGGAAACTCATAACTTAGCAACAACTTATTATTATTACTAAAACTGATGCTATGAAATTCAGATAAAGGTTAAATAGTGCCCACAGTAGATGACAGAAAACTGCTCTGCTGTACCGTCTTAGAGATGAATAACACTGTGCAACTTCTTCCACTGAGCTGCTAAATAAAGTCAGAAGAAAACTAACAAACTTCATACATGTTTGCAAAGCTTTGTCTAAATTCTTGGTTATAAAAAATAAATAAATAAATTAATTAATTAATTCTTGGTTATTCATGAATACATTGACCAGAACTCAGTAACCACTAGAGTTAGACTCCGAAAGCCTCCAATTTTGCAAGGAGATGCTAATAAACATTTATTTAAAAGAAATAGTTGTTTTACTTAAACACTAACAATCACAGGGACAACTGGGTGGCTCAGCAGTTGAGTGTCTGCCTTTGGCTCAGGGCATGATCCTGGAGTTCTGGGATCGAGTCCTGCATCAGGCTCCCTACATGGAGCCTGCTTCTCCCTCTGCCTGTGTCTCTGCCTCTTTCTATCTCTCATGAATAAATAAATAAAATCTAAACAAAACAAAACAAAACAAAACACTAACAATCAACCAAAGTTAGAATGTAAAATAGAGCTATTCAAACTAGCTGTGAAGAACCAGTTGTTTTGTTTTCTTTTAAAATGTTTCAAATAGGGGTGTCTGGGTGGCTCAGTTGGTTAAGTGTCTGCTTTTGGCTCAGGTCATGACCCTGGGGTCCTGGGATCAAGCCCTGCGGCAGGCTTCATGCTCAGGAGGGAGCCTGCTTTTCCCTCTGCCCTTCCTCCTGTTTGTTTTCTCTCTCCTCTTGCTCTCAAATAAATGAATAAAAATCTTTAAAAATATAGAGAGAGTGCTCCAATCCACTGCTGATACTTTTTTACAAAATATACTAAAAGTGAATTCATATAAAAATGAAACAGGAAAAGACTGACAAAATATAAGTCCACTTTTTTTTTTTTAAAGGATCATCCTTATCAAATCGCTGAAAGTTTCTAAATGCTTAGTCTCAAGTTCTATACTTAGGCCAGCAGCAGTGTGGACTGGCACACAGTCAGCAAACACTGCCCACCCACCCGGGCCTTCCAGGACTGCAGGCACGTGCAGTGTGCTTCCAGGTACCAGCTTATTTACTGCTCACAGCCATCACTGTCATCACCCACATCTTACCTATGGGGAAAGTCGGGCTCAGAGAGGTGAAGCCGCTTGCCTAAGATCACAAAGTAAATCACTTACGGCTGGGGTCTAAACCTGGGACTACCTGTCTGAGGTCTTCACGCAAAACCCCGTGTTGTCTCCTGACAGTGCTCGGAGGGGAGCCGTACGATTCGTTTTCACCTTACCATTTAACTCAGAGTGTGTCACCATTACCCAGTTTATAGGCAACTAAGCGCCGTTTTCCTATCTGCTTCCTGTTATCTGGGCTTCTGGACATTTTAATTAATTAAGAGGGAGGGGATCCCTGGGTGGCTCAGCGGTTTAGCGCCTGCCTTTGGCCCAGGGTGCGATCCTGGAGTCCCAGGATCGAGTCCCACGTCGGGCTCCTGGCATGGAGCCTGCTTCTCCCTCCTCCTGTGTCTCTGCCCCTCTCTCTCTCAGGAATGAATGAATGAATGAATGAATGAATGAATGAATAAATAAATAAATCTTTTTTTAAAAAAATAATTAAGAGGGATCCTGAAAGGTGACGACACTCACATCAAGTAAGAAATCTGTGACGGGATGAGCACTGGGTGTTATTCTGTATGTTGGTAAATTGAACACCAATAAAAAATAAATTTATTATTAAAATAAATAAAAAAAGTAAGAAATCTGGAAATGGATCAGGGACAGACATGGTAATGAGGAGAGAAATGGCCACCAAGTTGGACTTTAACATCTTTTTATCCCATACTTTTCCCCAATCACCAATGGGAGGTAACGATGGCTGGATGGACTCCCCATTAAAGCTCACCTTGCCCAACAGCTGAATGCATTTTTTCCATGTCAAACTTAATTTTTGATCTTCCTGGAGTGCTAAGCATCTTCTCCCACACTGTGGTTACTTCTTTAAGACAAGGAGTGATTTCTTCATAATCAAGCTTTAAGCGCTTGTTCAGCAGATCATTTTCAGAGGCTGGAAGAGATCATTTCGGAACACGTTAGAAAGGACACCATGGCTGCCTCCTTACCATCACCGCTGAGATGTGGAGCCGTTAGAGCCAGCTCGCCAGGTCCACATTAAAGTCACTGCTCCTGCCCCACCCCATCTTCCTTACCTGGGGAAAAAGCTAAACACACCTAGGAGGTATCCCAGATTTCTCTTGCTCCTTCACCCCCAATGAGTTCTGTTGGCGCTACTAGTAAAATATATCCCATACCTATCCAGTTCTAGCAATCTCCACAGCTATCCTATTAAACTACATCTCAAGGACAGGAGCTATGTGTTAAAATTCCTGGTGCCTGGCATGGTCAGAGACAACACAATTTATTTATCTGAACCAGGAGCAATTCTCCAAGGACAGTTCCCCCTTGTTTAGAGCCAAACCTCCTTAGGTAGCTTCTGCTTTAGTCATGTTTCTGCTTCCTGCAGCTCAACAGAATAAATCTGCCCTTTTCTTAGGATATTGCCCCAAATATATGAAGGTAGTTATTATTCCCCACCAACCTCATTCAGTTTTAACTGCATTCAGAATTGTACCTAAATTACCAAAATGGGGTGGGAGAAGGGGAGGGGAATCAATCAAGGAAAAGTTTAACTTCACAATTCTCAGGATTAAATGGGACTTCACTCCCATCTAAAACCACTATATCCTATTTCGACCTAGGAGTAATGTCACCAACCCCCAAACCCATTCCACTTCACGTCTCAGATCTTGACTATGAGTTTATTAGGACAGCAGGTGATGAATAGCTAAGTATAAGCCAATACACCTAGGCCTCTGCAGAACTGATCAACTATCATATTTATGATAATAATAAACAAATACCATGTCCTAAGTACTTTATATTTAGCAAACTTTCCTCCTAATGACTCTCTGAGGCAGGGTTCTGGATGAGAAAACCCGAGGCGCAGAGGCCGGGTAGCTCCTCCAAGGTCACTGAGCAGGAGGTGGAGGGGCGCAGGGCCCTGGTCCTTTTCCAGTGCACTGCAGAGCTGGCTGTTATTAATTATATAGTTTTTCTGGGACCAGGCATGTATCTATCAGGGGCCTTAAATGTCCAACAGAATCCAGTGGAGCTTTCTAGGCCTGGGGTTTTTCAAGTGAAAGATTTTCAATACCAATATGATCTCTTTAACAGATACAGGGTTTTTTCATATCTTTTTCTTCTCATTTCAGTTTTGGTAAATCACACTTTTCAAGAGGTTTGTCCAGTTCATCTAAGCTGTTAAGTTTCCTGGCACAAAGCCATCCTTAGTCCGAGAGACACAGATCAGTCAATGCAAACATCTCAAGAGTCCTCTCCTGACCCCCTGAAAATACCTGCACGCTCCCCATGCCCGCCCTCACTTTATTCAGGAGGAGAGGAGGCTGAGCAGGCTCAGAGTTTGCCCAGGGCCACAGAAGCAGGAAGCGCTGGAGGCAGGATCTGAAACGTCGCCCCCCCAACACCACCAGTTTTACCACTACACTTCGCACCCCAGTGCTTATTATTTTTAAAATGGGAATTACAGCTACCTCATTGAATGGCTCTGGTTATGCTGAGCATCTACAAAAAGTCTACTCCTCAGCACTCACAAATTATCAAAAATATAAAGTCAAGTAAGGAAAAGTATGAAACACTGCTTTACAAAGTGCTGCTAACACGAAATAAAAGATTTCCTTTTTCCATGTTAGAAACTGAGCAAAGGCTAATAACTCAGTTCATCTGCTTAGTGCTCCCGACCGTAAGCCCTTATTCATCTGACGCGTGGATTATGTACTTAACGGACCCAATTTACCACCTTCAAGTACAAATGCGTCAAAAGATGGTGCTGCACACGGCTGCAGGGACCCCTTGTCCAGCGTCTCATTTCATGGACCCAGAAACTAAAGTTCAGAGCGAGTACAGGGCTTGCCCAACGTTATTTGCCAGCTGGTGGGTTGTCAAGGGACTCTGGCCCTTGTGATTTCTCATCTGTCATCTTTATTCTTTTCCTTCTTGCTTTGAATAACACATTTTTTTAAGGTCCCACTAAACAATCCTTGTTGCAAGTCGGGTTCAGGACTAGCTTTGCTGGGGACAGTGACTTCACGTAGCACTAGGCTCTTGGTGCCAGCGGACATTTCCCTGGCACTGAGATCTGCTGTGAGCCTGTGTGGCTGCATGAAGGAGCCCAGGAAGCAACATGAGGAACCTGCTCTGAAGTCAACAGAGCGGTAACATCCAGCCAGAAGATTCCACTGAAAAGGCTTAATCTGTGTATTTCACTGTTGGCCCAAGCACCATCCTGCTGTTTGAGGATCTGAACACTGCTGCCTAAAATTCAGAGCCTCCAAAATGCCTTATCAAGCCAGACAGTTGGTGCATGCTTGTAACAAATATCAAGGCTCCCAGCCAAGGCCTTCAGATATACGACCAAACTGTTTAAAATATTAAATGAAGGTCTACAAACCCATGATTGTGCATTTCTGGGCTTAGGGCAACCAGGACCACATGAGATCAAATGTAACTTTGCAAAAGAATCATCTAAAATATGTATTACCATTTACCACGGACGTATGAGCTAACTTGGACCTTGGACCAACAATGTTCAGGTCTGATTTATGCCCATTACACTGGGGGGGCTGCAGCTGCCCATCCCCAATCCCACACCACTAGCGACTGCCTTCGCAGATAAAATGTTTGTCCAACTCCCACCATCTCTTAAAAACTCAGTCAGGAAAGGCTGAGAGGCTGGAAACATCAATGATGAAATGACCTCCAAACTTGTAGAGATTTTAGAAAAACCACACTCATTCTTTATTTTTTTATTGTATCTGCTTAACCAGGAAAAAAGAACCTTTAAAAAATATCTTTCATTACAATTCAATTAAAATTCAAAATTCAATGTGTTGTAACATTATGCAGATACTTTAATTTAAAGCATGAAATTCTGAATTTTACGAGTCAGTTCAACAAGCGATAATGTGCTAACCCCAAACCATGGCTGTACTGAACGGCATCCTGTCCTGCATTAGGCTGCCTGCATCTTCGTTTATAACGGGGGAAAATGGCCCTGCACCGGGGCACGGTGGAGACTGCTGGCTTGGGAGACAGGCAATGTGTTTTAGTCCCAGCACCACAGAAAATTAGCTGTTTAACTCCGGGGAAAACAAGTCAGCTTCCAACTGCCTACTGTGGAGTGAGGTGGATTTAGATGATGTGGTTTGGTTCTTTCTCAGATGCCATGGTTCTGGAATAGTAACAGATATACTTAATCCACATGTTCAAAAGCCAGGACATAGACTTAAGCATAGAAGATCCTCCTCATACATGTTCTAATTTCTTTCCCAAACAGCAAGTAATCCAGCTTTAACATCTGATCAACTTCAACCACTTCCAGCTACACTTTAACTTTTCCTTAAAAAAGCCACTAAAAGTGGCACCTGGGTAGTGCAGTCAGTTAAGAGTTCGACTCTTGGTCTCAGCTCAGTTCATGATCTCTGGGTCGTTAAGTCAAATCCCACATCATGTTCCCCACTCAGGGGAAGTCTACTTCTTCACCTCCCTCTGGCTCTCCCCACTACTTGTGCTCTTTCTCTCAAATAAAATAAAACCTTAAAAAAATTGTTTTAATCTTTAAAAAAAATAGAAAGCAACCAAAAAAAAAATGCCATAGAATGACTCTCTCGAGTACACAGTATACTCCTGCTTGGTTCTTGTCAAATCTGACTTCGGTGTTTATTTATTTAAAGATTTATTTATTTATCTGAGAGACAGCAAGCAAGTGTAAGTAAGCAAGGGAGGGAGAGGGAGAGAGAGTTCCAAGCAGACTCCGTGCCAATAGTGGAGCTGGACACGGGGCTTGAGCCCAAACCCCGAGATCAACTACCTGAGCCAAAACCAAAAGTCAGATGCTCAACTGACCCAGTCACCCAGGTACCCCTTGCTTCTGGATTTAATGAGAAAGTTCTGCCCCCATCCCACCCCAACAAAGCTTACTAAATGTTTTCTAGGCAATTCGTGGTCAGGCTCTTTTGATGATTAAGCTTCTCAGCAACAAAGGTACTGCATGCACTGAAACCATGCTTCCTAAACTCTATTAAGGAAATTTATTATGCTTTCACCACAAAGGTAAACATGCTGAACTTTACAGAGCTAAGAAGAGAAATGAATTCAGATAGCAAGAATGAAAGACCACACAAGACTGACCACTGCCAGGTGGAATGAGGAAACAGTGAGAAAGTGGGGGCAAGGGCCAGTGAACTGAACGTGACACCTGGCAAAGTGTTCCAGGTAACCTTACGAAGCTCTTCCCTGTTCATCCTGGTTTGCCTAGTCATCATATACGCAGCTTGACAGGGGCTGTGCTTCTGCGGCAGACTGATCTTGTCTCATCAACTGCAGTCAAGATTCCTCCCAACATCCCAAGAAGCCAGCGTCATTCCCATTTTACAGCTACGCTCCGATTTTCCATGGCTGTCATTTCGAAGAAGGTTAGTCAGGATAAGTATTAGGATTTATGATCTACATGATGAAGATAACTGCCTCTGTGCTTTTCAACAAAAATCCCAACCAACAGACACACAAATGTGAGTGCTGCAGTCCAGAGCGGTCATTCAGCTGATGGCACACTCAATGATGCCGTCACAGTCAGAGCTCTTGTAGACATCTGCTTTTATTTATTTTTTTAAAGATTTATTTAGACATCTGCTTTTGGAATTGCCTTCAAGAACACACAAGAAAATGGTAGAAAAACAGAGTTGGAGAAAACAGCCATCACTGCGGTAAAGTCCCCCCACTGTGGCACCCCTTCCACAGCCACTTCAGGGGATGAGCCGTTGCCCAGCCTCAGTACCAGGTACGGAGGAGAGCCCACTGTATCCATAAGTAGCCCATTCCAACCACTAAACCACTTTCATATCAAAAGGTCTTATTGGGCAGCCCAGGTGGATCAGTGGTTTAGTGCCACCTTCAGCCCAGGGCGTGATCCTGGAGTCCTGGGATCAAGTCCCACGTCAGGCTCCCTGCATGAAGCCTGCTTCTCCCTCTGCCTGTGTCTCTGCCTCTCTCTCTCTCTCTATGGTCTCTCCTATATAAATAAATAAAATCTTTTAAAAAAGTCTTATTACTTTGTATCTGACTTCATGTTTTTGGTCAAAGATGATATACTTTTTTGGACTATGAACCTTATTCATCAGATTTGGTGTCTTAATACCCTTCACCTCTATACAGATATTAAGATAAAAGGTGGAAGATCCACAGTTGAGAAGTAAGTTCAGTGAAATGTAGCCTAATTGCAAAACTGCTTTGGGCCATGGTGGCACAAATACCCTTCACCTCTATACAGATATTAAGATAAAAGGTGGAAGATCCACAGTTGAGAAGTAAGTTCAGTGAAATGTAGCCTAATTGCAAAACTGCTTTGGGCCATGGTGGCACGACTCTGCACAGCCTCCCTCTGAACAAGCACGTTCAGACTTCCTGATCAGAATGGCCATTATTTTATATCCAGCCAGCTCTCTATACTCCATGTTCTTTCCATTATACCGCCCACTTAGCTTCTTAGCTACTATGAAAAAAATATTTTTTTTTTTGGTTAAAGCAACAGTACAGAAACAGGAAATGAACAAAATCTAAACTTTCAAAGTTCATGTCTTATTTTCATACTGACATAACCCCCGGCAAGAATGTGGCTGGTCTGAACCTCAGTTTCTTCTTCAGGGTAACACCTACCTTCTGTCAGGAGCATTAAATGAATCTATAGGAGTCTAAACTCCTTTCCTAAACGAGTCTGTAGGAGTCGAAACTCCTTTCCTATAGGAAAGGTTGGTAATGGTTCAGGTAAAACTCAGCTAACACTAAAGCTTAATCCTCTTCAGGGACACCTGGGTGGCTCAGTGGTTGAGCATCTGCCATTGGCTCACGGTGTGATTCCGGAATTGGGGATCAAGTCCCGCATCAGGCTCCTTGCAGGGAGCCTGCTTCTCTGTCTAGGTCTCTGCCTCTCTCTCTCATGCATAAATAAATAAAATCTTAAAAAAAAAAAAAAAAAAGGCTTAATCCTCTTCAGATTACCTGCAACCCACTAAAAATGCACATACAGGTTACAAACTTAAATGACTTGTGTAGGATTAGCTCATACCTCACCAGCCAAGCACAGACCGTGGCTGACGGCAAAGTAGGGGGGGAAAAGAGAGAAAACACAAAACAAAAAACACTCTTCTGAGGGTTGAAGCTTACATCTGAAGGTTGCCTCTTTGAAGTTCTAGACAGTATGCTAAAATGACCATACAGGAGTAATTTCATATGGTTGGTGAGATTATCATTAACTTGACTTTGAGAAAGTAAACATAAATATATATATAGAGGGGGGGGGAGGAGGGAGAAGCTTGCTTTTTTTTTTTTTCTTTTTAAAGACAGCATACTTGTGGTCTGATGTGATTCGCTTCAGAGCCAAGAAAAATGATCAGGCCTGTTCATTCTAAGAGAATGGCAAACCAACCTTGCAGCTTCTGATTTTCCTTCTCCATTCTGAGGAGTAGAATCTGTTGCAGAATAGCCTTTTGCCATAACTCTCGAAGCTCGTGAGATGTCCTTTTCTTTTCTTCTGGGACAGGGCCAGAGGGTCCATCCTCACAAACTGGTTCTAAAGGAGATCGTGGCGGATGCTCCCCCAGTTCCGAATAATCTGGGGATGGAAACGGACATTTCAGAACAGTCATTTTTTTTCAGTACAAATTAATTTTTTTTAAAAAAGATCTTATTTATTTATTCACAAGAAACACAGAGACAGACAGAGACACAGGCAGAGGGAGAACCAGGCTCCATGAAGGGAGCTCGATGTGGGACTCAATCCCAGGACCCCAGAATCATGCCCTGAGCCAAAGACAGATGCTCAACCACTGAGCCATCCAGGCATCCCTTTCAGTACAAATTTAAAAATAGTGTCAAATCAGAAAATTTCTGTCCATTCAGATACTATGAAATGATATCACCAGATTTAAAATTCAAGTTTTAATATGCATTGAAATCAATTGAGCCACAACCATCAAATTATACATCAAATAGCAAGCAAAAGCTGTAAGAGCTGAGGAAATGCTCAAAGATATCTACTTTTAAAGGTGCAATATTTCTATTTTCTTCTGAGTTGATGATTGTATTATTGGTAATGGCAAACATTCAGAGTGCTCACTCTGTACCAGCTTGTTCTGAGGGCTCTATAGACACTAGTTTATTTAAAATTCAACCACTCTAAGATGTAGCTACTATTAGTAGATGTAGCTACTAAAACTATTCAGTTTTAAAGAAAAGCAAACCTAAGTACATTTGACACCTGCCCAATGTTACACAGCTAGGAAGGGTAGGGGCCCATGAAGGCTGGCTTCCACGTGCATTCTTAACCACTAAGCTATAAGACTAGGTATTCTGGAAGAAGATTAAAGCATATTTAATAGCCAATAATAACAGTGACCATTAAAGGGTCCTCTACCAAGTGCTGGGCACCATGCCAGGTGTTTTCTATAGACAGACTCATTTAATCCTGATGACAATGCCAGAAGACAGGGATTAGCCTGAAGAGAAAACAAAGGCTCAGAGAAGCAGAGTAAGTTGCCCAGGGTCAGACAGTGAACAAGCAGGTGTGTTGGGATCCCAACGAATGTCTCTCTGGCTGGAAGTCCATGCTTTCTGCTAGATATCCCTGTAATTCAAATGTTTCCTATGTCATCAATTTTCAGATTCCTGTTTATTAGTTGAAATCACTTTACATTTTATGAATTTGTACCCTTCTCAACTGCAGACCCCACGTTGCTAGTACACAGTGCTGTTCTCACAAATACCTCACAGACATGCAGAAAGAACATCCCACCTGCTTACTCTGAAACTAGCTACGAACAGCAGAAGTTCCTATATGAGTGGGCCTCACTTAAGGCAATGTATTCTTGGGAACTTCTCTCTAAACTGAACCTAAATAAAAATCACAGTCCTAACACGCTCTGTGAAAAGCCCTTCACAGACAACCTGAATCATACAACCATCCAGAACACAACATACAATCTCTTCCAGTGTACAGTTCCAACAAAATTCCACGTTATAATTAATTTCCAGAACGGAACAGTTTCAGCGTTGACTCCTTATTATCTAAAGGTGGGTTTGATTTCCTGCTACAAAATCTATGAAATCAAACACAAGGTACCAAACGTTTCATTTCCTAAAGTGACTTGTCCATTTTAACTCCTATTAAAAGTTACTGGATTAAAAAAAATTATGATGAAAATTAAGAATGCTTTGTTGTCTCTGTATTTAAATGCTTATCACATTTCTATCTATGTCAATTTATTATGATCCTATTAAATGAATGAAAAAATTGAAATTCTTCCTTTTGGAGGATACTCGTGTGTAATGGTCGGTATAAAAGCAGGAATCACAGTTGACTGTACTGGATGATGTCAATCTTAAAATTATTATGAGAAGCAGGACCATTCGGTAAGTCAAGTCAGCCTCTGGAGCCAGGCTGCCTGGGTTTTAATCAAGACTCTGCATTTTTTGGTTTTGTGATTCGACAAGTTGCTTAGCCCTTTAATGCCTCAGTTTCTCATCTGTCAAGCAGGAATAACAGCACCTCCCTCACAGAAGTGTTACAAGGTGGCTCAGTAAGTTAAGCGTCCACTCTCAATCTCAGCTCAAGTCACGATCCCATGGTAGAGAGGGTGGGCCCCACTTGGTAGAGAGAGTGGGCTCTGCGCTCAGCAGAGTCTGTTTGTCCCTTTCCCTCCCCCTGCTTGTATGCCTTCTAAAATAAATCTTTTTTTTTTAATAAGTGTTACATGGATTAATACTCATCATACAAAGTACCTGAAACAGAGTCGAACACACAGTAAATATACAGCGAACATTAGCTCTTATTGTTATTACATAGTCTTTAACAGCACACACACAAAAAAATACTGGAAAGAAACACACCAAAATTTAGCCTCTCAGGGACACCTGGGTGGCTCAGCAGTTTAGTGCCTGCCTTCAGCCCAGGGCCTGATCCTGGAGTCCTGGAATCAAGTCCCACGTCGGGCTCCCTGCATGAAGCCTGCTTCTCCCTCTGCCTTGTCTCTGCCTCTCTCTGTGTGTGTGTGTGTCTCTCATGAATAAATAAAATCTTAAAAAAAAAATTTAGCCTCTCAATTGTAAGCTCTGAGGCAAGACAGGCCACCTTGTTAGTGAGGGTTTACCTGGCACCCAGCACAGCCCCAGTCACCCAGCAGGTGCTTGGCAGATACTGCTGAAGAGAGAGACAGATGGGTGCCTGGTTTGGGCGTGCCTGCTGTTCTCTGTATTTTCAAAATTCGTGACAATAAAAACGTCATTTTTATAATCAACTGAGGAAAAGTAATGCAAATCTGTTCCAATTTAAATCAAAGACTGCAAGATGTTCTGCAAAACACTCAGAAGACAAACCAATCTCCCCAAACTTGTGTACTTAGCATTAGTTGGTCCTGAATACGCTATAGCTAAAGTTGATCCTTCTTTCAGAAGGCACGTTGGTCAGTATTCTTATTCAATCTTACTCTGCAGTCTGAAGTCTTCCATCTGAGCTCTTCCCTTTTCTCTTTTACCATCCCGGCTGCTGAAACTCTGCTGGACACTGCGGTGGTGATTCAAGTTCTGCTTCATCTCACGCTGAGGGATTTACATCCCCACTGGCTGGCAAGGGTCTTGTTTCCCAAAAGCGATCGAGGGGAGACCGCCTCACCTTGGGCAGGTGCGCGCAGGAGACAGCCAGGGACCCACCCCGGTGACAGGGCACAAGGTGCAGTCTGGACATTCTTCCTCACCCTAAAGCCCTGCTCATCAGTCAAGGGCTCATGTCACCTCACCTCCTGTCTCCAACCTCATCCCTCCTCTTCACCACTGCCCTCTCTTCTCTGGCGTGTCTTGAAAATTCCCTCTATGTTACTTTCAAATCCTGCAACGTAATGAACAGAGCAAGGGTAACCCAGGCTGGGCTGATGGAACGCATCTGGGAGTTGAGGCTGCTTCGTCCCCAGATCCATTACTCTCTGCCACTTGGGTTTCTGACAAAAAACAGAGTCTGAGGATGCTCCAGTGTTTGCTATTTTCTTATTCAGAAGAATTAGATCAGCAAGGAGTACAGGCTTTGTTGGTGATGATGACGTGTTGCCTCCCTAACGTTCTCTACTTATGCCTACTTTTTATTATTTTTTTTAATTTTTTTTAAAGATTTATTTAGTCATGAAAGAGACACACATACACAGAGAGAGAGGCACAGGCAGAGGGAGAAGCAGGCTCCATGCAGGGAGCCCGACACGGGACTCGATTCCGGGTCTCCAGGATCACACCCTGGGCCGAAGGCAGCGCTAAACCGCTGAGCCACTGGGGCTGCCCCTACTTTTTATTATTGATTGCAGCTCAGTTTGTTAAGCATTTACTGTGAGGCCTTGACACAAATCAGCTTGTCTGATGCTCATGACCACCCCCATGAAACAGGTGACACTGTCATCCTCATTTTATAGCCAAAACAACTAAGGTGCACTGAGGTTTTGTAACCTGATCAAGGTCAGAGCTAGGAAGAGTCTGGGCCACCACACGAAGTACAAAATGCTTACCCAGTGCTTCTCTAACTCCTAGATGTGCAAGCATCACGTGGGGATCTTGCTAAAATCCAGATTTTGATTCAGTAGGTCTTTGCGGAGCCTGAGCAGCTGCATTTCTAGCAAGCTCTCTGGGGTTGCGGCCGCTGCTGGTCCTCAGGGCACATTCTGGGGCTCTACACTGCAGCTCTACTCTTCATTCCCTCGTGCAACCCTCTGTACTCAGCAAGTCACCTCTTCATTCCCCTTCACTGCTGCCACGAGAATACCGTGCAGGCGCTCTTTTCGGCTACCTGAGTCGAGGCGTTCACACATGGCCAGAGCTTGTCCCGACCTTGGCCAGGGTGCCAAGGCCAAGTGCGGAACACAAAGAAGGATCACGAGTACTAGTGTTAACTTCACCTCTGAATTCACGAAATAAAAGCTAATCTGCTGTAAAGGTCACCGAATAAACCTAACAGTTGACAGCAGGGTTTTCTCAACTTCTCAGCACTACTGACATTTTAGGCTGGGTAATTCTTTGTCGTGGGGGACAGTTCTGTGCATTTGAGAGTATTTAGGGTTCCCTAGGCACCACCTGCCAGAGGACAGTACCCACTCCAGTAGTGACCACCAAAAATGCCTTGATGTTGCTAACTGCCCCCTGAGGAGGAGGGAGAGGACAAAAATCACCCCAGCGAGAACCCCACTTAGAATTTTAAAAATCCATTACTTATTCTTCTCCCAAACTCTGGTAGGGGGGAAAAATACATCCCCTTCACCCAAATTCATGTTATGTGATAACAATTATCATTGTTACAGTTTATAATGAACAACTTTTAAATACATTATCCTTTGTTCATATTAAGAGTAGCCTAGTTGCAAAATTACTTAGTAATCTATGAAAGGGGGACAAATATTGGTTTGTTCTAAATGTGGCCTGGCTAAATAAATCCAAGTGGGCTGTTTCCTTGTCAGTGCTAAAAGATCCAGATTTGTCCCAGGGCACAGCTTTCTACTAGTCCTCTTTCACGGGGACACGCACACTTGTGCTTGGGGTACAGTCTGGTGAGACGTGAACTCAACATGCAGGGGGTCGAGTGGAGGG